ATATATTATAACTTAACAGGAGTAGCATATCTTAATATATGTTTCAAGGACACCAGGAAATACATAAATAACCTTATTTGTTATGACATGGATATAATAAGGTTAGTGTGTCCGACGCGCCTAAATTGGTAGCATGCCTTGAAAAAGGCTGCTTGAAAGTGTTGAAATATAATCCTGTTCTGGCTGATTTATAATCCTGTTCTGCCTGATTTCTCCAGTTCTGCCTGATTTGTTCTGTTCTGCCTGATTTCTTAGAGCAGAAGTAATTTTCTATTTTTTGTTCTGTCTATTTTAAATGATGTAATGAGAACCATTAGATCATAGTCTAGGTGGATTCTCTAGCTTAGATTTGGTATGACACGTGTAAGCACCTAATAGGGTGACAGTTGTAATTCTGTTAGAAGAGAATCACATTTCTCTTCACGTCAGTCACACTATGTAAGCGGCATATTGTAAGAATTCAATAGAACAGTGCCTTCCTCATTTTCTCTTCATGCTCTCTAGCTAAAATCTCCAGAAAATACTTCTCTTCCTAATCGGAAAATACATATACAAACTAAGAATTCTAACACATTTCTCCACCGCTGTACCTTTTCTTTCTCATGTTTACCTTCACAGATGCCCGCTTCATGTTTCTCAAATGCTTGTGCAAAACTACCAGTTTGTTTCCGGACATCTGAAGCCTCAACGTTATAGAACAATGGAATAACCTGTTGCCCCAATCTTTTTCTACACTCCATGATCTTCACCAGCTCGTCAAGACACCAACTGGAATCGGCATACCTCTTGGAGAAGACAATTATGGAGATCATGGACCCGTGGATTGCCTGCTCCAGTTGGGTTTTTATAAATTCCGTTCTTTCTAGCTCGTTGTCGTCAAGAAAGGCGCTGATTCCGGCATCAGATAGTGCGGCATGGAGGTGGCCTGTGAAGCCCTTGCGTGTGTCTTCACCTCTGAAGCTCAAGAACACGTCGTACTTCCAACGTTTTGATGAGGATGATGGTGAGGATGAAGATGAGGCTTTATGGGCTTTCCTGGCATCCATTAATTGATACTGGTTCAGATCAGACCAGCTACAAATTATGCACAAGTTGGCCTTCCGATCCGACTGTAGCCGAAGAAGTGATTTTTTTCGGGGGAGGGGTTTTGGCTTGCGCAGCACAGACGAATATCTGTGTTGACAAAGTCAAGGTTAAGGTCCTCGAACGTTTCAGTCAACAGAAGCAAAAGTCCCTACGTTCCTGTCAACACGTCATGGACGCGTAGAGAGGCAAAGAGAGGGTGGAAGAATAGTGTGGACAGAGGGTATTTTTCTGGAAGCAACCAAAACCAAGGGTCGCTTTCTGTGGCTGCTGGCTAGTACACGATCTGCTGGACGGCTAAGATTGAAGGTCAGGAAAATGCAAGGAAGCTTAGGGAAAAGAGAGGGAAGAGACGAGCACAATGTCCAATAAAAAAATAAAAAGAATAAGAAAAACACAAGTCTTGTAAAGGGAGCTGGAGGTTTCAGCATGGGCACTCGGTTTTGAAGCGTTGAGAAAAGTGAATGAAGACTTTGATAGAAATGGAGGGTTTGATACTGGCAAGACTAATCAGGTTCGGTACAACCATGTTGGCACATAAAGGAGGTGAGGACGGGGAAAAAAAATCTGGACTAAATCTAAGGCTAGCAAAGATAATGCTCGACACGTGTTGAATTATATTTCCAACAAGCCTAGGAGACCCTGAAAGTGCAGAGTGTCTTTAGTAAAATACGCGGCCCAAGTAATTCCCTCCCTGCATAAAAGGAAAATTGGTGGATGATGGAAAGATGATTACTAAGCTAATTTCTATCAATGAGCAACTAGCCCATTGGGTTAGTGGTCAAAATGCTTACAATGCTACGGGTGCTTATCACTTTGGGCATCAAACCCCTAATATAAGGGGGATGATACTAATCCTAATTTGCTTATTCTTCTGTTAAACAGCCGTTCAGATTCGCAGCCATGTGGATGAAACATGAGGAGTTCCAAGAGTTTATTGCTCAAAATAGGGAGCTCTCCTCTGACTCTGCTTTGGGGAAGTCTTGTGCCTTAGTGGAGCCTCTCAAACAATGGAACCTCTCTGTTTTTGGTCATACCAAACAAAAAGAAGCCAGAATTTTAGCTCGATTGGTCAAAAGGCCTTATGCCAAGGGCCTAATGCTTTTCTTAACAATTTGGAAACTGTCCTTATTGAAGATTTAAATGGTATTTTAGACCAAGAAGCTGTTTTTTGACACCAAAAATCTAGGGTGAAGTGGCTTCAAGAGGATGATCGTAATACCAAGTTCTTCCACATGTCTACAGTTATTAGAAGGAAATAAAATAAAATTGACAGACTCAAGAATGATGCTTGAGTTCGGGTGGAACAGGCTGAAGGTATTAAAAATATGGTTATGCAATATTTTTCTGATTTGTTTTCTCCTGCTCAAGTGCCAACCAGCAGGTTTGCAATTTCTAGTACTTTTCCCTGTATTCATTCTGGAGAGTTGGCTTCCTTGGTAACTAAAGTTGATATGGAAGAAGTTAAGGCAAGTCTCTTCAGCATTGGAGGGGCTTAAAGCGCCAGCGAGGGATGGTTTTCCGGCTTGTTTTTATCAGAAGCACTGGAATATTTGCGCTAATGATATCTTTGAGCTAGTCGACCAAGGTTTCAGGGAGTGTAGGATTCCTAGAGGACTTAATTCCACCTTGATTACTTTAGTGCCTAAAGTGGAAAATCCTACCTCTATGATCCAATTTCGGCCTATAAGTGTGTGCTGCACTCTCTACAAAGTAATCTCAAAGATCCTGGCTGCTCGTCTGAGGCTTATTTTGCCTAGTTTGATTAGCCCTAACCAAGTTAGGTTTGTTTCAGATAGACATATTACTGACAACATCCTCATTGCTCAAGAACTTATGCATAAATTCAGGATGTCTAAAGGCAAAAAAGGGTTTGTTGCATAGAAGATTGATTTATCTAAGGCCTATGATAGACTGAGTTGGGATTTTATTGAACTGGTGCTTATGGAGTTGAAGCTTCTTGTGCCCTTTATCCAACTAGTTATGAGTTGTATTTCTACGAAAATATGCGTTAATGGTGAATTAACTGGCCCTTTCATCCCTAAATGTGGCATTAGGCAGGGAGATCCCCTCGTTCACTATCTTTTTGTTTGATACATTGAGTAACTGTCACACATGACCGTCTGTTTGCAAAAAGAATTGAAAGCCTGTTGGATCTTCCCAATCTGGTCCTTGTGTCCCTCACCTTCTCTTTGCAGACGACCTAATCCTTTTTTCGGAGGCTAGCCTGAAGCAAGCACGGATCATGAAAAGCTGTTTGGATTTGTTTTGCAAGGTTTCAGGTTATTAGACTGTCAAATTTTCTAAGTCTGTTGTCCTTTGCTCCCCCAACACTTGCAAGGAGCTTGCCAAGGAAATAAGTGCCGTATGTGGTTCACCATTGACTGATAATCTGGGAAAATACCTAGGTATGCCTCTTCTACATCACCGTGTGAACAAGTCTACATTAGTAAAATGAATACTTGATGTTCCCAAATAGGTTTATTTTCTCTTAGTAATGAATACTTAATTCAATTCATAGTCTGTCAATTTCCCCTTGCTTTTTCTTTCATTTTTTATAAACTTCGATCGCATATGGCAGTGTGTTCCACTTTTAGTATTGTATCATGCCGACACCATACTAGATGCATGCATATTCATTGTCATTTGTAGTGTATTTTTTGAGCAGCCGACTGATGTTAGACAAAAACTAGTAAGATTATGCTCAGAGAGTGCAAAAGTAGGTTACAAAATACCAAAACTAGCAAAGTCATACAAGACATTCATTCATATATAACACCAAAACTAAACTATGAAATTAGAGAATAACAGCAAATTTATGTCCCTTTCATAGAAACAACAATGAGTGTTCTTTTTGTTCAATACAATAAGATCAAAAGGCATTCTGATAAAAATGAAAAGTATAAATAAGACAGCATAACTGCATAAACAAACACAATCTTGCCATTAGCAAGCTAGCTGCGGTAAGCTTGACGGGTTCCTTAAAGTATGTTAGGTGTTTCAGCCAAACGGAGCTTCCCTTGCATGCCAGGTGTAAAATTCATATACTTCTTCTGAAGTTTAAAATTCTTGAACTGAGAAAGGAGTGAGTTCAGCAATTACTTGAGGATAGAAAATCAATGCAGATGAATTTGTTTCTGAATCGGTTCCATGCAAACTAACGCCCCATTACTTGAACATAAATGTGTTGAGCAAATCAATTTAATCACAAAACATGCACTTCTTTTTGTTACTTTCATAAGGTAAACAAACTAGTTACACAAACTTTCATTCTCAAAATAACCCATCTGTCAATACAACCACAAAATATGAAATTTTGTTTTTTCTTTTTCAAATATCAATTGGTCTTTTGATAATTAAATTCCTTTATTTTTTTTCAGAATCATACTTCATTAAAACCGGGAAAGGAAGGAACAACAAGGCAGAAGCTCAAACGAGAAATTTTTGTATTTTCCGGATATACAACGTTGTTGGTTATCATCCAATACACAAGGGACATGTGGAAATATTTTATTTTTATGTCCCATGTGTATTGGACAATATTTCCACATGTTCTATGTGTATTACATAGTACACCAACCACATGGTGCACCCGGAACATACAAAAATTTCTCCAAAAGCAGATACATATGAGACAGATTTAACTAAACAAATAATAAAATCTCTTTCTTCATAAGAAGAAAAAAAGTGTATATAACCAAGGTGGTTGGTGTGAGTGGTTCGGCACTCTCATTCCTTAAGAGAAGGTCAGGGGTTCGATCCCTGCTCTCGTATGGAGTCACCACTTTGGCCAGCACTTTACCCCTTACGGGCCGACCCGGTGTGAGCGGGGATTAGTCTGGGTTGTGGTTAAGGCTTAAAGGTGCCACCCATAGTTGGGGCCCATCCAGGGCCACCTCGTGGTTCAAACCAAAAAAAAAAAAAAAAAAAGTGTATATGGAAAAACCTTATAAAATTAAGTTTCTTTTTTAAGGAAAAGAAAAGTGTCCTTTAAAACTTTATAAAACCAGTAGATCGCAACCATGAAACTAACATCAAAATATGATTATGTTTTTTTTTTTTTCAAATATCAATTAGGAGCAAATAAAAAACCATGGCCCCAATTGGAATAACCATCAGAAAGAAACCACACCTGTTTCACATAGAAATCTTGCGAGCTCAAGATGCAAGTGGGCTCACGTACATCTTCCTCTTGCTGCATATTTATGTTCCTCCAAGCGTTCAAAGAAAGATGGGTCGTTTCGTTTTCCCAGCGTACGTGGTTCTTTCCCAGCATATTTATGTTCCTCTTGCTGCATATTATATGTGTTCTGAGGAAACTGCATAAGTGCCTATAATAAAATTCATCAACCAAAGAGGGCTGGAATAAGAAATGAGGGAGATGGATCCCAATGCCAAGACTAAAAGGACTCTCAAGCGAGTTTCCTCCATCCCTTTCACATTTTTATTTTGCTAAAAAAATGAACTAAAATAATAATTATATATATATTTATGTATTTTATTTTGCTTTCAACTAATAAGCTTATAAAATTTAATCTGAAAAATATGTTGATTACATAAAGATTCAGATACTGAAACTGATTAAAACTTTATATAATGTTATTAGGTTTCTTTTTCTTAGTAAACTACACTTTTTATTCGCGTATTTTGACAACTAAATTAGTCTTTTTTTTAAATTAAAAAATAATAATAAAGTGGCATTAGTGTGAAGCAACTAAATTAGTCTTTTTTTATTTATTTATTAAAATTAGTCTTTATTTTTTATACAAATTTATAAATAAACCCAATCCTAGACATGTATTTATAAAAAAACTCAAGCACTATTTAAACATAGAAACACACCCAATATTAACCCCAAAGTCAACTTTTTGGGTGTATTTATAAATGGGTTTTGAGTGTGTGTAATGATGGGTTTTGGGTGTGTTTATATGTTTAAATAGTGCTTGGGTTTTTTTATAATTTCAACCCCCATTTTGAGTGTTTTAGTGAAACTCCCTATTTTTTATTCGTGTCTCTTGACAGCACAAGAGTTCATTTTACTTTACATCATGTATGTTCTTAAAGGGCAAAACATTAAAAATATATATATATAATCGGGTCCCAGTGTGTTATTAAGAAGTGCAAAATTGGGCCAAAAATCCTAAAAAGTGCAAAATTGGGCTATTTCCAGAATTCTAGAAATTTAGCTGTTACATGACCCCTTCACTCTGTCCGTCGTCTGTGTGTTTGAACTCGAAGCTCCAACCATCGCGGGTCGTTGTTTTGCAGTGCGTGTAGGTTAGTTAAGGAAATGGAGGACATAGAGGATTTGCTAGTTGGGAGCGGAGGTGGAGCTCCTCCGGGTTTTCGTTTGCCCATAACAGCCGTCGGATTGAACCCAAAGAAGAACAAGAACCAGAACAAACCCAATCCCAATGGCAATAGCAATAAGCTATCTCAAATCCAAGACCCCCTTGCTCCTCTCTCTCCCAAAATCCCTGGAACTCAGGTCTCTCTCTATCTCTCTTTTCCTCTCCAGAGATGATTTTCTTTCGCTAACTTCTGTTTTTTTTTTCTTTATGCAGACTATATATATCAAGACATTTGGGTGCTCACACAACCAGGTACGTTTTCAGGATTCTATTATTGCCCCATTATTTTTCTGTAGTTAATGTTACCCATGACCGACTGTTTAGATGCCCTACCAGTTTTTGCACTTTATATAGTGTAATATCATACTTTACCAGGAAAACCTTCGTATTTCCTCTACAATTTGAATATATAATTTTAGTTTTTCCTTCAGTAATAAGCGGGGGAGTTTCATTTTTTGTTAAGTTTGCAAGTTTTGGAGAATATGATGTGGTAAGAGGGGTTCAAATGATTAATTCAAGCAGCTGTCTTCAGAAGACAAATTCAGAGGTTTTTGTGGTTCTTGGAAAGAATAATGGAAACAGAAAAATAAATAATTGTGGGCTCCTTTCTAATAATAAGTCTTAATCTTTCTCCTGTCCTACTGCTCTTCAAGCCGCATGGAAATAGAAGACTGCTAGGTTTTTAGGGAAATGCTACACTTGCCAACTTTTGTTCCCCAACTAAGATGGCGATGTCCAAGTGAGTTATATAACATGGTTGATTTTCTACTCCAATGATACAGTGTGTGCAGCAAGTGCCAAATAGGTTGGGAAACAAATGATGGGAGACAAAGTTGGGCTGTTAGGAATTTTCCATACTCTTATTATGAAAATGAATAACTGACAGCATTATTTTATATATATAAAGTTTCTGGAAGGGGTTTCAAAAGGTTAGAAAACATCACAATTTAAGAGTAATATTAGGCTATCTGCTTAAATCAATGACCATTAGCTTGGGTGGAACCTTTGGGTTTATAGCAAGGTAGTAGAGCAGTTGATGATGAGAACAGGGTAAGTTAATATTTGAAAATTCCTTTGCATAAGAAATGGAGGATGTCACCAGAGAAGGGGGGGTGGGGGCGTTAAGCCAATGGCTGAACTGCTTTTGTAGATCTCCAGGCAATAAAGGTGCTTCTAATTTGGTTGGTTTCTTGTTTGAAGTTTTCTTAGATCTGTCTCTAAGGTTTTAGTTATTTGCTGATTATCCTCTATTATCCACCTATTTCAAATGGATCTATGATATCAAATTTTAAGGTTGTTATTGTGGTTATAACTTATAAGTAGGATTTATTTGGTAGTAATGTTTCTCATTATTATTTAATTTGGATTTTGCATCCTTTCTGATCATATTGCGTGGAATGGTTGTTGAATTTTCTGATCGTACTGTTTTGTTTGTTTTTTTTTTTTTTCCCTCTCCCATCTATAAAATAGATCATCTACTGGGAACTTCCCAATTTTAGGGAGGTTGTTGATTAATTTAAACATCATGTAAACTCCAGCTCATAGTTCACCATTCCATTTTGCTTGACCTTAGTGTTATATAAGCATGAGATTTGGTTCTGTCACCGGCATATATTTCTTTTTTCTCTTTTTTCTCTTTTTTCAGTTAAATTTATCAGGGATTGAATGAGTAAAGTTTCTCATGTTTGTATTTGTTTTCCTTGCACTTTGTCTTTATGTCAGAGTGACAGTGAATATATGGCTGGCCAACTTTCAGCTTTCGGTTATCCATTAAGTGACAATCCTGAGGAGGCAGACCTGTGGCTCATAAATACGTGAGAATCCTTTATTGGTATCATTTGTTTAGTGGATTTGGTCATGTCTTACACTGAAAACAATGTCTTAATTTATATTTGAAAATCAATGTCAAGGGAATAATTTAGTGCTCCTTCAGTCATTGGAACATAAAGGATATTGTTTGTGGTATAGTAATATTTTTGAACTTTAGTACACCTGTTTTAAATTCTTCTTGGTCTTGATCTCATCAGTTTTCGATCGTCTTCATCTAATCAGTTTACGATCATCTCACTCCGCTTCGAACTCGCCGCCTCCTCCCATTCCAAAATCCCAATCCCGTGCGCTTTCAATCCTTGCTGCGAAATCGGGGCCAAGAACTGAGGTATGGTTTCTGAAACTCACTTTCTAAGTTTTTCGTTTTGACTGCATCCCACACCTGCAGAATATTGAAAAATCATAACTGACATTGAACTTGAACCTGCACAATTACTTCAGAATTAGTTAAGTCATAGATCAAATCTTAATGACCCTATCCTCCCCACACGTGACAACACACATGAGCCTCCGTCTGAAAACAAGAGGACAACCACAGTCAGAATTTTAATTCTAATAGATGTTATAGATTTTCTGTTTGCGTATGGTTATAGATTTTCTGTGTGGCTGAATTTTTTTTTTCTTTTCCTGTTCGTACTTATCTTGCATTCCCTTTTTATTTTCTTCACATAATTATGTTTATCACATGTCACACCCTCCCATTTGTCTCTGCAAGGGTCTGAACTCATGTTCCAACCACATTTGACATCTCTCACTGAATTTCGTGGTGAAAGTTTGTCCGTGAATTGCACCAGCACTTGCTTGAATTGCTTCAAGTCTTGATCTTCTGAATTAGCCATTTGAAAGACGAGAAAGATCAAAATGGCCAGTACCCAAGTGGGAAAAGGATTCATTTTTTCTTATTTTTATGTACAAGTAGAGTTTTTTGTGGAAAATGGTTCTGTGATTTTGGTTTCCGCTTTATGAAGTGGGCTTCATTGATGGAAGTTGCAAAACAAGAAGGAAGTAGCAATGTTGAAGTTTGTTGCTGGAATATGACTTGGTGCCAATTGGCTGATACAGACAGAGAGTTTGAAATATTCTTTATGGTTAAGGTTATGCACCATGAGGAGCTTGCAGAATGAGCCTCACACCGCACTATAGCCTATAACAATTCTGAAAAAATAAGTGGAGCCATTGGGAATTTGCGTGTTGTTATAGATTTTCTGGGTGGCTGAATTTTTATTTTTTTTTTTTTTTTTCCTGTTCGTACTTATCTTGCGATCCCTTTTTGGAGTCGTGCCTATTTGTTGAATGCTATGTTTCTTCTCCCTCTCCGATGTCACTCTTTTATCCATCACGTCATTTCCTTTAGTTGTTAAATTTTCTGCTTTTAGTGAATTTGAGGAATATAAATGGAAGTGGAGGGAATTAGGTTCGGTTGTGTGAGTGAAATTATGCATCTTTGTGTGTTATTTCAGTCCAAGTTTGTACATTTGTATTTATGAGTGTGCTGTTTTGTTTTGATATATGAGTGTAAAATCTTACTTTACCGCCTAACATGAACATTTTACCCCAATGTTTGTGTAATGACTGACAAATGCAAGGAGTTTGAAAAAGGTATCTGGGGTATAGAAAACCCCCAAAGATTCAGTTCAATATTCTCTCATGGTGAATATATCTAACTCCTCACATGTGAGCCTCTATCCTCAGCTTATATTGGAAGGTTGCAGTCTTAGGAATTTAAACCCAGGATCTCCAGCTTAGTTAGCGTGATAATATTGGTTGGTTTGTTGCCATTCACGGTATTATAATAAGATGCGTGTCAATAATTATTTTATATTCTCAATTCATTCATGTTTATATTTTTTTTGAATCTCATCTCATGGAATAACTTTCTTCTATAACATATAGCGATGATCCATTTCACCAGTTTGTTATTTCTGTTTAACCATGTAAGTTTTCTTTTTCCCATCTAATTTTTAATTTTTTTTTAATTCATGGTTAACTGGTCCTTATTGATTGTATCTTCTGAAAGAGATTCTTTTTGTGTCTGCAAAAATAATAATAATATAATAAAATAAAATAAATAAATAAAAATCCCAAGCTTATAGACTTGTGGATATTTTAGCTATTGAAATTAGTAGTTTTTAATAAAAAAGAAAAACAGGAATTTAATACAATTTGAATTCTGTATGCAGCTTCTTTATGATTCCTTTTTTTCCCCCACAGTTGCAGTAACACAACCTGTAATATATAATACAATTTACATCAGAACATATGCTTTGTAATTGAATCATGAAAGCAATGTTGAAATGAGGGGATCCATACAGAGTGGTTTCTTTCCGTACAGATTTTGCTCAAGCTAATTCTTTGGTTTAATGAAAAGATTGTGCATGCATAAAATACTCAAGCTAATTTCTTCTCCGATTTTTCTGTTTTTAATTCCCTTTCTTCTTTTCTTTTTTTTTTTTTTTCCTAAAACCATGTTTTCTTTTGATATTTTGCAGATGGTCTTTTGTTGCTTTGGATAGAGCGGTTTGGTTAATGTTTTCAGTTTTGTTAAGCAAGGGGTGAGTTTCTAGGCTGAAATTTCAATTAATTGTTTTAAGTTTTGTAGAGCATAGGAATTAGCTAATGGCATCAATTGACAATTGGTTGGTGTTAATTTGTTGTTGTAATGGTAGGTTTAGATGATTACAATATTTGAACATGTTGGTAGAGTGTTTTGGCAATTGGGTAGTTGAGATGTTCCCTGTCTATTTTCATCAATTTATACACATTTCACACAATTTTAAAACCCGCAGCACCGCACGGGTACCTTTTGCTAGTAAAATCTATTACGTATATATCGTGTCTCTTGACATCACAGGAGTTCATTTTACTTTACATCATGTATGTTCTTAAAGGGAGGAAAAAAAAAGAGATAATCGGGTCCCAGTATGTTATTAATATTTTTTGTGTGAATGTAATTCTATTTAAATAAATTGAAAAGCATTCAAATAGAGTGGAAAGCTACAAGCCGAAGAAAACCTAACCAAAAAACAAAAAGACAAAAGGCCCAAACATGAAAACACAGAAAAGGCAAAGTGAAGGCCCAATTACATAAAACAGAAAACCGTAGGTATGGGAATGAACCAGCCACGCCACCCAGAGAACACCTGCCACAACACCGTTGTATGGAAGTTTTGGCAAGTGCTGCTGTTTTGACCAGCAATGGGATGTTGGTCTACTTAAAGCGCACTAACCTGTAATGTTATCCTGATTGTTCAAAGGAAGCACATGCTAGGATCAATCAGAAAAAGGTTACTCAAGAGCCATGCCCTGCCCTTCCATGCCAACCCTAGTAGATTATCTCATTCGCGGAGGTTTAATGAAACTGAACATGTTGGATTCAGATCACCACCAGCAGCAACTAGTGTTCTGTAACAGAAACGGAAAGTAATATATTGTAGCTTACACAGAGCTGCAAGAAGGTGATGACTGGTCCACTGTTACATTATTTTTGTTTCTGATATTACTGTGGAAGGGATTTGCGTCTTCTTTGCAAGTGAAAGAAAGTGCAGAATTTGGTTCCATCCAGGCAATGTGTAAAGTTTCTTTTGCTAAAACAAGAAAAAGAAAAGGAAAAAATAAAATAAAATAATTTGGCTTCCGGCAATGTGCAGAATTCAGTTCAAGGTTGCGACCCTTTCCTTTGCAATTAAATTCTTTGGCAAAATAAAAATAAAAAAGGAAAGGAAAATTCAGTCTTAAATAATTCCCGTCAACTAAATTCTGTGGCAACCATTCACAATTAACGTGGGTGGGAAAAACAATTGAAGAAAATATTAAATAAAAAACTTTTTAGATGCCCGAAACACCCCTTCACTGCTAATTGTTCATCCACAACACTCGATTCATTAGTGCGAACAAATGCATCATGGCTCTATCCTGCTCCCCAAAAAATCCAGATATGGTTCCACTGCTAGTTGTTCATGCATATAAGCCCCTGAAAAATGCGTCATCAACTCCCCCTGAAAAATCCCGATTTTGTTTCCAAATCATACAAATGAGGATCCGGATTATCTATATTTTCCTTCATGACTTTGTCCCATTCTAGATGAACCCCTGTCTTCTTCACTCTCACAAAATCAACATCATCAGGCCTTACAAGAATGGAGACTTGGTCCCCGCCTTGCAAACAGAGAACATCGTTTAACAATTGTCCCTGCCAAAGATAATGGTCTTTAGGTCTATGCCAAGTTTTTAAGGAGGCAATTGCTATCTTGGTGTGCAAAGCAGTTTGTTTGGTAAGATTTCTAACGATAATGCCAATAAGACCATTTTGAAAATCTTTACATTTCCCATAACTCCAATAAGGCATTGTTAAGAATTTTCGCCTGAATGAAGAGTAAACGAAGCATATAGTCAACCCTTTTAAATCACTACCCATGATTCTTTGAGGAACTTCAAAGAAGACGATATTGTCCACATGATTGACGAATTTGAACCACTCAGGAATATCATAAATTCCATTCAAATAAATTCCACCAAATCCGCAAGAAGTCCATCTCTGCACACCAGAAGCAATACATTCTTATACATGCATGCATATATCATTATATATATGGGCCGCATCTGCAGCTGTGCCTTTGTGTTTGTGTGTGTGTGTGTGTGTGTGTGTGTGTGTGGGGGGGGGAGAGAGAGAGAGAGAGAGGGAGGGGGGGGAGGGGGGGGGGGGGAGAGAGAGAGAGAGAGAGAGAGAGAGAGAGAGAGAGAGAGCTGGGTAGAGAGAGAGATCATAGGGGGAGTGGGAGTGGAAGGCGGGGGGGGAGGAGAAGGGGGGACAGATACAATTCTCTCATATTCGACATGTTTGAAAAATCGGGAATTGTTTCCAATTCTGGACAGTAAATTGCTTCCAGAACATACAAATTCGTTGGTAAATCTGGTATTGCACGAAGGTTTTTGCATGCATTTACACACAAGACCTTGAGCTTGGAAAGACCAGCGAGGCTTGGCAGTCCACCAAAGTAATTGTCTCCAAGAAGCAGATGTTCTAAGGAAGTTAGGCTACATAGATCCTTAGGGATTGCATCCTCAGTTAACCGCCAGCAGCCTGCAAGACATAATAACTCTATTAAAGAGTTTAAGCCATGTAACGAAAGGGGTAAAAGATGGAATTTCAAAATTCTCACCACATAGAGATAAAATTCTCAACTTCTTCAATTTTACTATGGAAGATGGAATTTGTCTGATGCCTGTCTTATCTGCTTCCAAAATTGTCAATGATGCCATGTTCCCTAAGCCATCAGCCAAGTTCCCAAATCTTGAACAACCATTCAGTATAAGAGTTTCAATAGACTTGGATTTATAGAAATTCAGTGGGAGATCCTTTAGCATTCGGCAGCCTTCAAGATTTACCAAAGAAAGTATTCCAAGATCCCCGATGTATGAGTGAACCTTAATCAACTTCTTACAACCTTTCAATGTCAACTTCTTGAGATTTGGGAATTTTGAAAAGTCCAGTGATTTGCTTTTGTAATTAACAGAATCGTAATGAATGATGACATCATCATTGACCAGATATGGGCGTCGTTGATACGCACAAAGATGGTAATCAATCATATTTTCGTTCATAAATTTGTCCCATACCAGACTAACACCTGTTTTCTTCACCTTTACCTTCGCCTCCACTATTATTTCAATCAAGACATTATCACCGTCTTGCAATTCGAGCTTGTCATTTGATAACTGTCCCTGCCAAAGATAATAACCCTCAGTTGGACAATCGGGTATGATCCTGGCTTCAATCTCAGTACCCTTGGTCATGTTTTTAATGCTAATGTGAAAACCAAGACCGTACTCTTTTGAAGAGGAAGAGAAACCGAAGGACAAAGTTAACCCTTTCAAAATACGACCAACACTTTGAGGCACAGTGAAATACACAATATCATCATCATGGACACAGTGGAACCAATCAGGAATATCATTTCCACTAAGAAAAATGCCACCATATCCGCAAGAAGTCCATCCCTATACCATGTAGAGCCAAATTTCTATAAGAAATACATTCTTATGCATGCATGTGTACATGTGCGTTGTATGAGACAACATTAAAAAGTAATGCACACTTGTACCTTAAATAGTATATAAAAGTCTTGAATGATATAGAAAAGTCTAGAATTTTAATGAATGTGCAAACCGACTTAACAAAGTCGGTGAATACAAAAAATCTGAGAGATCAAAGTGTGCTATAAAATAAAATATTCAAAGATCTAATCTCACCGACTAAGCTACTGTCGGTTAAGTCTCCTATATATAGGCTTGATGCCTATACGAAAATGTAAGCTGGAAAACTACAGCTGTCCAATTAATGCAATCATCAAACTCAAGTATTAAAGCCTTGTACCTTTCCTACCTCAATCAATAGAATAAAAACTAACTTGTTCCTCTTTCAAAAGTTTTCGATTCCAAATTAAACTATTGTCTTAGACACTACCAACCATTCTCTAAACCTCTTCTCTCTTAAACTAACAGATAGAAAGCGAAAGATATATGAGAGAGAGATAGAGAGGGATTGACCTGTAGGATGTTCTTCCTAAAATCGGCAGTGAGATTAGTGCACTTTTCCATATGAATCCTTGTCATGGAGTTTAATGACTTATCCAAGCCTGGAACCTCAGTGAGTTTGCCCGAATCACGTAGATACAATTCTCTCATATTGGACATTTTTGAAAAATCTGGAATTGTTTCCAATTCTGGGCAGTCATTTGCTTTCAGAACATACAAATTGGTTGGTAAATCTGGGATTGCAAGAAGTTTTCTGCATGCATTTAAACACAAGACCTTGAGCTTTGAAAGACGACCGAGGCTTGGTAGGCCGCAAAAATCATTTCCTGCAAGATCTAAATTTTCTAAGGAAATTAGGCTTCCGAGATCCTTGGGGGATGCATCATCAGTTAAACTCCAGTCTGCAAGAGCTAATTCTCTTAAAGAGCTTAAACTTTGCAACGAAGGAGGCAAACGATTTGTTGATGGCGACCCTTTCACAGAACATAAAGATAAAGCTTTCAGTTTCTTCAATTTTAATATGGAAGATGGTATTTGTCTTATGGCTGTGTGATCTGCTTTCAGAGTTGTCAATGATACCATGTCCCCTAAGCCCTCAGCCAACTTTTCAAAACTTGAACCAGTAAGTAGAAGAGTTTCAATAGACTTGGATTTATAGAAATTCAGTGGGAGATCCTCTAGACTGTAGCAGCCTTCAAGATTTACCAAAGAAAGTCTTCCAAGATCCCCGATGGAAGAGTGAACCTCAGACAAACTCTCACAGTCTTCCAATATCAATTCCTCGAGATTTGGGAGTTTTGAAAAGTCTGGTGATTTTGTTAGCTCATAGGAATAACTGAGATTAAGGATTTTCAAATTCTGATGCAACTGTTACACAAAAACAAAATTAGAATGGAAATTAAAATCCAAAAGGAAGGTCTCTGATACATAAATTAAACCAAAATGAAGAGATGGTGAACTATAATATATGTATAGAACCAGAAGGAAAGAACCAACAACAACTAGGTTGAGATTATTATACCTTGCAATTCTTCCAAACTATTTTGAGGTCGCTATACTTCAGGTCTAAAGCAACTAGTTTTGGTTGCATAGGAAAGTCATCTGGTATGGACTCTAAAGGAAAATATTTCCAGCGCAACCATATTAACTTTTTGGGAGGACCAAAATCTCGATCCATATAATGTCGAGCCCCACCTCGACGCAAATATGGATCCAAATGTTGAGCAACTCCTTCAATTTCTTCAGTTCCCTGTTAACAAAAGATACCGAGTTAGAAAATCCGTGTATGTATTAACCAAAAAGTATAATTAATAGTATTGGACCATGTTACACCCTATAGTTTGTGTTTGCAATCAAAGCACATATTTTTTGTTGGTTATGCCTAATTGAGGTTTGCTCTTGATGGATATAATATAAGAAATGGCAACGGACCTAGCAAAGTTAAAAATGATCTAAACTTGCAAACTAAAGTCTCAGGTTCAAATTCATATGGCACTCTGGTAGTGTGGATGTGTGAGAACCCTCCTCTTTTACTTTGGTTTAGACTATATTGCTTGTACTAAACAAAACAAAAAATCAAAAAGGACATTTTAATTTATTATAGACATGGGATACATATGCTTCTCTTGCATGATGCATTCTAAAACTTTATTGGGAAAGTACTTACAGATACATAGCTCAATACATCTATACCGAAACTAGAATTTTCCGAGCTTTGCAGAATTAGAGCAAGTCCTTCAACTTTTTCAGTTCCCTATTAAAAAAAGGCACTCAGTAAGAAAAACATTGTTGGCTAATGATTTAGACACATGAAAATTGCATGTGTTAACCAAATTCTTTATCCACAGGTTTGTTAACAAAGCTATAATAGTACGTACACATGTAGTTTGGTTGGCAAAACATATAGCTTGGTTGATTTTGCCTGACTGAGCCTTCTTAATGCAAGTTCAAACCAACAGAAAGAATTGGAAAATGAGACCGACTATATTACGTACACATGCAAGGAATTCTATCTATTAGGGGTTGGAAAACCGACTATGTTACGCATACATGGGCTTATCTTGTATGATGCCATTCTAAACTTTTATTGAAAAAGTACTTACAGATTTGTCTTCCAATACATCTGTCAAATCGTCAGGGCTGAGCCACAATCTACTCCGGTCTTCTTGACAGATTGCTCTGCCCATTTCTCGAAGTAGATCATGCATCGTTAGCTGGTTCTCTTCATTAACAGTTACAAGGCACCGCTGAAGGAGGACACTGATTTTTATTTCTGCTTTATAGCCACATCCATCTAATATTTTTTTGACATGGTCTTTGTTCATTCCAATGAAGAAACAAGATATATCAAGGAATATACACTTCTCGATATGATCTAGACCGTCATAGCTTATTCTCAGTTGTTTTAGAATATCTTTTGGAGGGATTCCTTCCAATTCCTCCAATTGGCTTTCCCACTCTTCCATGGTTCTTCCAACCAAGAAAGAGCCTAAAACTTTGAGTGCCAGCGGCAAACCTCCACTATAAGAAACTACCTTTTTCGAGAGTTCAAGATATCGTTTATTAGGACAACCTTTTTGAAAGGCGTGCCGACAAAAGAGCTCAAGACCTTCATCTGGATTCATTTCTGGAACCGTGAAAGTTTTATTCACATGAAGTACGTCTAGAAAATGTTTATCTCTAGTAGTTATTATAATTCTACTTCCAGAGCCAAACCAATCACGATTTCCAACTATCGCTTCGAGTTGCTCCTGTTTATCTACATCGTCGATAATTACAAGTACCCTTTTACGTCCAAGTTTTTCTTTTATCATACCCATCCCTTCATCAGGACAACTTATGTCAATGGTCGGTTTCTTGTAGATTTTAGCAAGAAGTTGTTTTTGCAAATAAACAAGATCATGTCTATTTGCAGTGTCCCTAATGTCTCCAAGGAAACCATGAGCATCGAATTTATCCTTAATTCGATTATAAATGGCCTTCGCAGCTGTTGTTTTGCCCAGTCCGCCCATCCCCCAAATTCCAATCATGACAACATCTTGTGATCTACCACCTAGATAACTGATCATATCATGTACACGAGAGTCGACTCCAACCGGGCAAGCGGCTACTGGTAGGGGAGTTTTGGAAAGCCGTCCGACAATATTACTCTGAATAAATTCCTCGATAAACTTTGCTTCATTCCTGAAAATTGAATTTGAAAGCAAAACAAAAGACTCGTTATGATGAAACATTAGATTTCTACATGTCAACTTTCTACTTATTTGCATTTATGTTAGGTCTCAATTACGGAGATGGAATTCGAACTAGGGTGCAAGGATAGGATTCGGATCCTCTACCATAATTTGCTTGACTTTTGTGCTCCACACGCCACTTCATTAAAATTTAATCTAAAAAATTAAAGTTTGACACATGTTATCTTTAAAACAAAAACCCAATTTACTAATAATTAAAAAAGTAAAAAGAAAGCCCTAACTCAACTAACGCTAAAGTTTACCTTCTTCCTGCGTCTCTGCCTCAAAATCTTACCTGTCAACAAGTTTTCCTTTCTCCAAGAGGAAAAAAAAAAACTATCTTCCGATATTAATTGTTTGAAGAGTGGGTGGTTTAAAAAAAAGGAGTTTCACTAAAACACCCAAAATGGGAGCTGAAATTATAAAAAAATCCAACACCCAAAACACTTTATAAACACACCCAAAACCCATCATTACACACACTCAAAACCCATTTATAAACACACCCAAAAAATATACAATTGTTGACTTTGGGGTTGATTTTGGGTGTGTTTCTATGTTTAAATAGTGTTTGGATTTTTTTATAAATACATGTCTAGGATTGGGTTTATTTATAAATTTGTATTAAAAAAAAATATTTGTACTTGTTGTTTTGCTGGATAAAAAAGAGATCATGTTTCAAGACCTTAATTCCGGATTTGTTTCATGACATGCTCTTCTTGCTCTTTTTTTGTCTCTGCTACATGCTCTTATATTTATTGGTCCCTTCTACATGCTTTTCTATTTTTTGTTTTCTTCCTATCTGTGCAACAATTCAAAACTCCCCTCTTTCTCATCGAAACTAATTGCTTTTCTCTATGGTTTTGAATTGGATTTCAATGTTTTGGTATGATCAGGAGAAACAAAGCCAAAAAAGAGTCTAAAATATCAAACTCAACAGGGCGCCGGAGCACAATAAAGACTCCAGGGATGCTGAACCAAAAAAGGAGGATGGGGCAGAGGAGGGGTAGGGGGAGATGGATGGGGAGGTGGAGGGGCAGGGGTGGGGATGTAGTTTTTGTTTTTGTTTTAATCTTATATTTTCTAAAATATTAATTTTCTTTCTAAATGTTTTATGGATTTTAAGTTTTAAAATTTCAATTTCAATTTTTAATTAATATTTTGTGAAAAATGGGGCAAAGTGAGACAAGTTTGTGTGAAATAAAAGGTAAAGTGTGACAAAAAGAGTTTTAGGGGGCAAAGTGAGACTCAAATACACTTTCAAGGGGTATATTAAAATAATAAGCCTTTTTGTTATAGTAAAAACTATTAAAAATTAAGTGAACAAAAGGGGAATGGAAAAATCACGACCCTATGAATATTTTAAATCATTTAATGGAGTTATATTTAATATATTATATAATCAAAACAATTTTCTCTAGTATTTCATTTATATTTTACATTTACATCTATTTATATGTTTGATTAGATTAAACATAAGGATAAATGTTTATTATTTTATTTTTATATTTTTATATTTTTTTCATTATCAAAACCGATCATCCAATCAAATATCGATTGGATCGGATTGGATTTAAACATCTAATATGATGGGATTGGATTGAAAAAATCACAATCCAATCTATATTGGATCATATGCGAATTGACTTAATTCTATTGGTTTCGAACCGACGTACACCCCTAGGGGTTATGCATTTTTTTTTTTTAATTGTATTGGTTTCGAACTGACATACACCCCTATGGTGCTACATATGTTTTTTTTGCTTTTAACTTTCATGATTAGTTTTCTTTTTCTTTGAAATAAGTAAATAGGAAATGACAAATTTAACTTTAATATTGACAGAGAAGTGGATGAAATGTTAGGGAATTTAACAATATGGGGGACATTGACCCAAAAAATTCATTTGTGTTCTTAATTGACTAAATAAAGTACAAGAGGAATTCGAAAATTGGGTGATATTTGAGGGGCAATTATGCAGTTTACTCTTTAAGTAATTATGATAACATCTTGATTATATTTTTTATTATGCAAACCATATTTTACTTTAATATGATCTAAGAAAAAGAGGGGGGGCGAGGGTGGATTTGAACTTAGGTCTAGAGTGAGAAGCATATCTATTTTTACCAATTTGACTAAGTCTATGTCTGCTAAAAAAAGGAGAATTTAACACGAGCACTAAATAGCTAAAATATATATTCCCGACAATGTTTTTCTCCCATAAAATCTTAATCACCAAATAATTTAAAATTTTATAAATCTAGATCATATAAAGTTGATTCTTAGTTTAAAGTATATTTACATACAGTACATCAAATTATTACCTATAGAACATATACACAAACATATCATCATGTATCCGTTTTTGCTGAATTGACCGATTTCCGAGACAATTTTTTATTCTTCTTGTTTTCAAACTTAAAAGTATCACTCAAAATGTATTTGGCTTTGTAAAGTACCAAAATCCACCCAATTTTATGAAGGCTTAAATGTTAAAATGGTCCCTGTGTTTTACACATTTGGCAAATTTAATCCCTTTGTTTTCAATTTGGTTAACTTAGTCCCCGTGTTTTACTCCGTTAGCCAATGTCGTCCATTATGTTAAATTACCTTTAAAAAAATCATTAAATTTTTAATAATTAATATATAAAAAATTGTTAAGTTCAGTTTATAATATTAATACAAATAACAAAATAATAAAATAAATAAGAAATTCTGGAAAACCAACAGACTATGTCCTCCTCTCATGCTGCTGCCGCCTCCCAACCCAACACCACAACCATCAGTTGCCTGCCAATACTGATGTTGAATCTTTATTTCACTCATATTTTGTGGGGGTGGGTGAGATTGAAAAAGGAACAGAGAAAGAGAGATGGAGGTGTTGTGGGGAGGGAAGGAAGGGCTCGGGCTAGGTTTCTTTATCCCTCTAAGGGTTTGTTGGTTCGTAAATTTGTGCCCCTCACCTGGGCTAGGGCCCGATTCTTTGATGGCTCCAAGAGATAACCCATCAAGGAAACCTCCAATTGTTGTACTCATGATATTGAAAGGTGAGGCACTTTACTGCAATGAATGTGGACCAGAGCAAAAGAATCAGCGAAAAGAAACTGAAGAACTTGGTTGCCATGTTGGGATTCGACAATTGAAAAACATAGAGAGAGAGAGAGAGAGAGAGAGAGAGAGAGAGAGCGTGGACACAGGGAAGGGAGAAAAGAAAGAAAGAAAAAAAAAAGAGAAAGAGAGAAGAAGAAGAGAGGGATAGGAAAAAGGTTATTTTAATTCATATTTTTTTGCTTTGTAAATAGAACTTAATAATTTTTAAAATTTTAAATGAATTTTTTAACATCAATTTAACGAAATGGACAACATTGACTAATAGAGTAAAACACATGAACTAAATTGGTCAAATTAAAAACACAAGGACTAAATTTGCCAATTGACTAAAACACAAGGACCATTTTAACATTTAAGCCTTTTATGAATCACTAACTTTTTTTACCAAATTTGGTAATTACCAAAAGAACTCATATTTTGTCGAGATCTGCATATAAGTTTCTAAACATAAAGATATATGTGTACTAAAACTATACACATAAATCCTATGAAAGTAGCTTTCATCAATACTGAAATAGTAAGTAGTATTAATATATGCATATAGTAAAAGTCTCCTAATAAAAATATGGGCGACAAAAAAATATTGAACAAGAAATTTGTTTGATAACTTATTTTATTTTATTTTTTAAAAATGGAAAATTGTTTTAAATTCGGTTTCAATTTTCAAAAAAATTGAAAATGAAAATTGAAAACTAAAAAAGGGGCCTTTGTATTCCAGTAATCACGTAATTAAGGAGATCATATTCCAAGGAAGTCACTGATTACCTGTCTTTGAGAACCCCGGCACACAAATCCGCAGCTTCAGTAAGAGCATCTTTCCACTCCTTTACCACCTCATCTTTATGTCGGATGGTATGTTTCTGAAAATCAGATTCCAAAGTACCCTTCTGATGCCTGAAGTCTGAAGGATCCACATTGTAGAATATTGGCAAAACGATTTGATTCAGTGTTCTTCCACACTCCATGATCTTCACCAGCTCATTAAGACACCAACTGGAATCTGCATACCTCTTTGAGAAGACAATTACAGAGATCTTGGACTTTCCGATTGCCTGCAACAGTTCTGGTTTTATAACTTGCCCTACTTGTAGATCGTCCTCGTCCATAAAAACATCGTATCCCCTGCTTTCTAATGCCTTGTGAAGGTGGGACGTGAAGCCATTGCGCGTGTCTTCACCTCTGAAGCTCAAGAATATGTCGTATTTCCATTTTATTGAGGAGGCTTCAGGCGCTGCCCCGGAACCCATGAGCTTCAACTCTGCAGGCTGCAGCTGCTCTGATCACCACTAGAAAATGGCAAAAGTTGAACTGAACGAATTGTTTCGTGATTATTTTTTCTTGGCAGTGGTTGTGTTGCAGCAAAGATATAATACTGAAATACCCAAGTCAAGTCAAGCTCTTCGAACGTTTTCCACAAAAAGAGTGCCTTGGATAGAATCCTCGTCAACCACGAAAAGGACATGGTCACATGCCCAACTCATGTTTGTTGGAGTGATGATGTGTCTGGAGAGAAATTGGGATAAAGAGGAAAGATATGTTGAAAGTTAAACCAAGCCCACCGAATTCAAAACCACTTAAATAATTTATTCACTTTGTAAAAGCATGCCCATGCTTTTATGTACGATATGTTTTGTATATTGCCTCAATAATTCATGCTAACTGTAGCTAATTTTGTATTGCTTTCGGCGGAGTGCTCTCTAGTCTCTAGGATGTTTTCACTTTTTGCTGAAAAGTCTCTCCCTCAAAGGAGGCGTTGCATCTATTTGTATTGGAGCCGTTGCTATTTTGATTAGATTGAATGAAGCTTATTTGTTTTTGCTCCAGTCTTCTTCCTTCTATTTCTCCTGTGTCTGTGCGAGATCTTTGAGTGTGTGCTTTGAGGCTTGGTTGTCACTCTGACTTTGTTAATTCTGGTATTTGTTTCATTCTGTTTTCTACAAGATAC